AAAGAGTATGTCATTCTATGATACAGAGTAAACTACTGGAACATTTTGAGAGCATAATCTGGAGCTTTTTTTTTTTTTGTACCAGGGATCAAACTCACAACCTTGCGCTTATGAGGCAGGTGTGGTGCCACTGAGCTAAATCCCTGGCCCTGAAGCTATTTTTCTACTGAAACTAAACTATGTTTTCATTGATTCATATATCATTTGCATATTTTCTTCAACATTTAGTATTTTACCTTGGCTTTTATATATGCTTATGAAACTTTCCTTATTAATTTATTAGAATTTTATAATCAGGATAGATAGATAGATAGATAGATATGGCTGTATTTGCCCAGTACAACTTTTGCCATTTGCAATTTTGTTTATAATTTTTATTGAATAAAATCTATTATTTTTTGCTTCTGTGATTTCTCCCTTTGTAATCATCTTTTAAAGTCTCACCAATGTAATATAAAATACAACAAGCCACATATATTCACTTCTGTACTTATCTAGATATTTTACTTTTTGAAATATTTAACCATTTAAAATATTTTATTTTACTTTTTCTTTAAGTCTAATAATCAGTGTTATGTCCAAATAATCTTTCAAAGATTTTACAATCACCTTTATCCTAAACAGCAAATTTTTAATATATGATTGTCCTAATGTCTCAAGTTTCTTCTGTTTAACATTCATATATTCTTAAAGTGTAAAATATCATGTCAGTTACTCTAGCTATATAAATACATTTTAGCATCAAATTTCTCTCCATTTTTTCATGAATTTTCCTATGAATTCGTAGAACATACATTGGAGGGCCTGGTGAAGAAAGACAGCAGAAGACGTGTTATTGCCTTTTTTGGTAAATTTGCTTCGATATAAGTTGATGTATTATTTCAAAAATGTATATTACTACTGCAGACAAGCAGTAGTATATTCCAAGATCAAGTCATCAACTTCAGTTTTCAAAGCTACTTCAGTTCTAAGCCAGTGTAACTAGTTACCATCACTAATTTCAGGCTATTCATAAAAATTTAAAAACTCCTTTTATAATTTGATGTCTTTGATAACTAAATGACACTTGGTTTTTGGGGTGATTTATCTATGACTAAAATTTAATTTGACCTTATTACATTTATGGGGTACAAAGTGAAATCTAACTTTATAGACTTTTAATTTATAAGAATTGGAATGTGAATTAAAACTTAAAGCCAATATACTAAATACTGTTGATAAGTTTAATGAATTTGGAGTTCTCTAAGATTTGTCCAAAAATGTATATGTATATGTGTAATTTTGTAATATTTAATAATATATTCGTGCATTTTTATATTAATATATAAGGTTTCCATTTTAATCTATACATTATTGATGTGTTTCTGAGGTGCTCTATAATATTTGGTTATCAGTAACAGTACTACAGTGATAATTATTGATCATTTTTATTGCAAAAATTAACCTGTAAATCCTAGAAATGGAGATATTCTAGTAAATGTTTTTATACATTTAAATCTAAGGTATATTGCCAAATTTCTCTCATCAAATATGGCACCAATGTTCAAAAAATATTTTTTCAAAATTTTTTATTGGTACATTTTAGGTATACAATGCATTTACATTTCTCATTGGGAACTTGTACCTTTGCATGATGCATCTTAGTTCTTATTTTTTCCCCATTCCTAGCCCTCCCTTCACCCCCTCCACCCTTCCCTATTTACAAAGACTTTGTTTCCGTTTTTTCCATTTCTTATCATTTTTCCTTTCCCTTCTTTCCTTTCCCCTGCCCCTCCCACTACCCCTACCCCTTTGGACCTTTTCTTCCTATTCTGCATTATCGATTTTTCATTCTAATCATTGGTTCATTTCAGGTATACAATATAATGACATTCATCATTGGGAAATTTGCACCTTTACATAATTTCTGTTGCTATAACCCTAACTTATTTCCTGACTAACACTGATGTTATACTTTTTAGGTGAAGATAAAATTATTATACTTTGTTGTTTTTACTTGCACTTTTAATAAGGTTGAACATTTCTATGTTTGAAGTTATTTGTATTTCTGCTTCTGTGACTTGACAATCTATGTGATTTATCCGCATTTCTATTTTTATTTTTGTGAAATCTTACTAAATGTTAAATGTTACTCATATCAAATATAACAGCTCTTTGTTTTATGTGCAGAAATGTATTTTCATTTCTTTTCATATGTGTTCTTAACTTTTCATTTTCATAGTCAAATGCATGAACATCTATCTTCATGGAATCTAGTTTTATATTTAGAATGTTCATATCAGCTCTAATATGTTGATTATATTTAACTAAGTTTGCTTTTACTAATAGCAGTGTTTCATGTGTACAGATGTAAATCTTTTATGGCTATGAACCTTATTTTTGCATAAGAATGAAAGTTCGAATCTAATCTTTCTCCTCAACAGTTATTTATTCTGTTATCATTTACTGAATATTTTTCTCACCAATCCAAAATCTGTCCCTGTTTTTTATTGTGTTAATAAATGTATTGTGCCTAGGCCTGCAAAATAATTTCTATTGTATTTTGCTATCTCATTCTTTCTTCTCTGAATCCGCACTGTTTGAAATGTTTTAACTCTATAATGCTATGAGAGAATAGTGTATGAGACAAACAACACTGTACCTCCTGGCACACTCACACTTCCAAAGCGCAATATTTATTGAACAAAGGTATAAGTAAATATTTAGCAATGTTTTTTCTTCTCCTATCATTTGTGAAGAAGCATATAGGGGCGAGGCAAACGTGAGAACAAACATGGAGAAAAGGAGATAAAATAAAAAGGTCAAATTTTCGAAGCTAAATAATGTGGATTTTTCTTTTCTTTTCTTTTCTTTTCTTTTTTTACAGAGGATCGAACTCAGGACCTTCCACCTGGAAGCAGGCGGTGAAACCACTAAGCTAAATCCCCAGTCCTTAAATAGTGTCAATTTTGAATCCAGCTGATTAGAAAAATATGATAAACCCAACTTCAGGAGTTTATTGCTATCGAATTTTGATGTTAAGAAAAGCCTTCTTTCTCAAAGAAGAGCTTTTGGCACTTGCTGCATACTGTGACACAACTTCTTAGTGCTCTAGAGAACTGTTAGTATAACTGCTATCATCAAGTGGAGATTTCCTTACATTTTTAGCTTCATTGTTTTATTTATCTTTGTCCCATTATCAAACTGTGTTACTACGTAGTTTAATATTAAGTCGTAATATATGAAAGTATAAATTCTCAAACTTTACTCAATATTTCTTTGGCTCATCTCAGCCTTTTTAAATTTTCACATTTATTTTAGAATTGATGTGTCGATTAAGAAAAAAAAATCTCCTAGAATTCAGGTTGGAAAAATGTGAAATACACAGAAGAGTTCAAAGATAATTGGCACATTGAGATTTTTTACAATTAAGCCATTTTTGTATTCTTAAAATATAATGGTTTAGAAGGGGACTACAATCAAGATTTATGAAGTGGCAACATAAATTTATGCAACTTTTTATTGAGAATTTTAATATAATCCAAATGGTTGAAAATGATCTATTAATTCTATGTCTAGTATTATAAACACAAAAATACATTTTACATATAAATAAAGATGTATGTATAAAATAAATGCACTATCTTATAATACCAATAGTGAGACACCCAACTTTTTATTTATGGAGCATTCTTATGAGCGGATACCTTAAGTTAATTTTTATAGACCACATACAAAATAGTAAGATCAGAAGTAAAATATATTGTAAGAAGACTTTTAATTTTTTAATTAAATATTGTGAAACATTATGATAAGTGCAATGTTATTAATTCTGTATAATAGTATATTTATTATATTTTTTACACTAGTCTTACATTTCTAAATTCTGAAGGCATTTCAAATCTACTTAGCATGTATTTCTATAAATTATTTCAGTCAGACATGAATTATTTTTTCCAATTTTTTTCTGTTTATTTCAGTTTTCTTTTAAAATAAAAGTATTACTGTCTCTTTTAGGTATCTAGAAAGTCTTCCTTGATATCTTGTTGCAAAAGTTCTGGCTACCTTTATTCTTATTTAAATAACAATCATTCTACATGGATGTATAACAGAAGGGGAAGTAAGAAGGTGTTCTCTCTACAGCCCTCTCTGGTTTGTAGAGCTCTGTATTTATTCTACATTTATAATGGTACAGATCATTTGAAAAATCTGCTTGGACATCCAGCTACTTGCTAGAGACAGAAATAAATAAAGTAAGCCAGTGGCAAATCAGTAGCAAATATCCATTATTTTTTCTATGAGTACTTTATTCTCCAATCCACTAAATCCAGTGATTCAAAAGTGAACTCTAGACCATTGGAAAGAACCAAATACATAGAATTTTCTCCCACAGGAAAAAAGGTAAGAGGATATCTCAGTTTGAGCAGCTATAGATTCATTTGTCTCAAAGATGATTTTTTTAAATCATTTCTGCTTATGTGACTTTCGGCAGAAACTGCAGAATTGACTCCTAGATTGTCAACATTTCATATTTCATCTAATGAATTTATTTTTTCTGGTGCTTCTCAATAAGAAAAGCACTTGGCTTTTCATTGATGCACATGCTTCTGATTGTGGAGTGTAGATATAGATTTCTGGATGAAACAGTTCTCTGTTTTTATTTACAGAGAACCACTAAAAATCTGTTTATTAAGTACAGAAAGGTGGCAAGGAACTTCCAAACCTCTCGCTGAGATATTCACTTTTCTCAAGATTATTGTAGGTATGAGTTACAGATCAATGGCTTTTACTTAGTCAAGCATCTTGACCATGACAAATATTCCCCACAGTCTTTGCCAAGAAATTGTGTCTATTTTAAAGGCTTTTAGATTCATTATTGTTTAGTACTTTTGATTATTTTTGCACATTTCAGTGGATTTTAAATAGTTACGTGAATATGTATTTTATCTCTCAACTTTGTCTCACAGAATTTAATCTTAGTTTGATTTTGTTTTAGGTAATATATGTGAACAGACAAGCAAATGGAAAAACAAAATAACTCCATGGTGTCTGAGTTTATTTTGTTGGGACTCACAGAGTCTCATGAGCTGCAGATTTTCTTTTTTTTCCTTTTTTTCACCATCTACACATCCATTGTATTAGGTAACCTCATCATTATCTTTGTAATAAAATTGGACCCTCAATTGCACTCTCCCATGTATTTCTTACTGGCTAATCTCTCCTTTATTGATATGTCCCTGGCATCCTTTGCTACTCCTAAGATGATCTATGACTTAATCAGTGACTATAAGACCATCTCCTATGAAGGCTGCATGACTCAGATGTTTTTCCTTCACCTTTTAGGTGGAAGTGAAATGATGTTGCTTGTAGCTATGGCAATTGATAGATACATTGCCATATGCAAACCCCTCCATTACAAAAATATTATGAGCAATCATGTTTGCATTGGACTTGCACTTGTTTCGTGGACTACTGGCTTGGTGCATACTACAAGCCAAATGATTTTCACAGTGACTTTGCCTTTTTGTGGTCCCAATGTTGTGGATAGTTTTTTTTGTGACCTGCCCCGGGTGATCAAACTTGCCTGCACAGACACTTATGCCTTACAGCTGTTAGTCATTGCAAACAGTGGACTACTGTCTTTATTCTGTTTCATCTTTTTGTTCATCTCCTATAGCATCATCCTGATTGCTGTCCAGCATTACTCCACTAGGGGATCTTCCAAAGCTTTGTCTACTCTTTCAGCTCACATTACAGTAGTTGTGTGTTTTTTTGGACCTTGCATCTTTATCTATATATGGCCATTCAGTGGTGTCTCCATTGATAAAATACTTTCTGTTTTTTATACAATTTTTACTCCCCTTTTAAATCCAATCATTTACACATTCAGGAATAAAGATATGAAGATAGCATTAAGAAAAATAAAGACCAAGAATGTTAGTTCCATATCAATCTTTTAAATATTGTAATCATAAAAATTAACATTATCATTGTCTTTGTTATCATCACTTTAGATTAATGTGCATAATTTTGTAGCAAACATAAGCTACATTATGAGAAGTGATGACATTTCCTTAGAAAACAATATAGGCAATAAAATATCTTGACCTTTCAAAATAAATTTCAATCTATCATTCAAGTTGTAACTTTATTTTTGTATAAGTTAAACTATGGGGCAATTATAAATTGTTGATTTCTAAGCTCACCTTAGGCACTTTGTAAGAATTTCCTTTTATCTTCACAATAATGAAAATAGAGAATGTTATTTACATACTTACACTAATATCAAAACTGGACTTCCAGATCACCTAAGGCAATCACAAAGGGCAATGAGATGGAACAATGCGATATTTAGCAATCTGGACTCCCTAAACTGGCAACAAAAGAGGATCTGGAAAAAATGAAATTAGAAATAATTTCTCAGATAACAACAGAGATTGTGGTCATAGTACAGCATATGATTAATAAATCTAGAGCAGACATAGATTAAAAAAAGATAAAGGAGCTGAGGAACATGATGGAATCCCAACAGAGGAAACAAATGGAATGCATAAAACTGATGCAAACAGATTTCCAGGAAATTAAAAGCTCCATTAAAAGTTCATGCAGCAGAAGGAGCCAATGTGAGGAGAGAATTTCAGATATAGAAGATAGGATTGTTATTAGTGATTTGGAAAAGAAAAAATTTCTTAAAAATATTAAGGGACCATGAGAGATCAATCAAGCAGCTGCTAGGTGATGCAAAGAAGAATAACATAAGGCTGATCAGAGTCAATGAAGAAACAGGAGAGTGCACATGGCATAAAAGAACAGTTCACAGAAGTAATGGCAGAAAACTTCCCAAGTAGGGGAAAAGAACTTGACCTACAGATAAGTGAGGCATATAGGACTCCAACCAGCCTTGATCAAAAAAAATCTACATATAGGCATATAATAGTTAGGATTCCAGAAAACCAACAGAAGAACAAAATTCTACAAGCAGTTAGAGAAAGGAAACAAATAGCATACAAAAGAAAGCCCATCAGAATCACAGCTGACTTCTCAATGCAAACCCCCAAGGCAAGAAAAGCTTTGAGTGATGTATTTCAAGCCCTAAAGGAAAATAGCTTCCAACCCAGATTGATGTATCCTGCAAAACTATCTTTCAAAATTGATGGAGAAATAAGATACTTTAATGACAAAGAGCACCTTAGGAACTTCATGAATACCAAACCAGCACTCCAAAAAATTGTAGACAATGTCCTAGGAAAAGACAATGAGAATCACAACCCCAGGAAGGCCAGCAGAATGAATCTGTCAGGCATGACAAGGAATTAAACACAAAGGGGGAGAATCTGGCAAAGAGAAAAAGTGAGGACAATGATAAGTCAATGCACATCAGTTACAACCATCAATGTTAATGGTCTCAATTCACCATTGAAAAGAAATAGACTGGCAGAATGGGTCAAGTAAGATCCAACAATATGCTGCATAGAAGAAACACACTTAATTAAAAAGAAATTCATAGACTGAAAGTTAAAGGGTGGAAAACAATACTCCATGTGACAAGAACTGAAAAAAAGTGGCAGTAACTATCCTCTGTGCAGATCAAGTGGATTTCAAACCAAAATCTGAAACACTTCTGGTCCAAAGAATTTCAGATAAGGGATAGTCAACTTGTATGTACAAATCTATTGTGAACATGTGTTTTCATTCCTCTCAAGTAAAAACTTAACGGAATGTTGGTTCTTAACAGTAATATGAGTAATTTCTATATTGTTTTCAAAATAGTTTTATCATTTCATGGTCACATTAGCAGTATTAGAAAGTTCTAATTGATTCACACCTAAGCTGACATTTGTTCTTTTAAAACTTTTAACTTCTTCTCCTTAATGAGTGTATAATATGATCTTGTTATTGTACCGATTAGTATTTTCCTGATTCTAGTGTTGCATACCTTTCCTTGTGCTGTCCTGGATACTTATCATCTTCTTGTGTCCACTTTTTAATTGGGTTGTCGATTAATGAGCTGTAAGAGTTCTTTTTATATTCTGCCCAAGGGTTATATGTATTATAAATATGGTTTGTTTAAGGACTACTTTTCATTTTCTTAATGATGTCATTTAAAGTTCTAAATTTTGATGGAGTCTCATTTTTCAATTTTTTTATACATCATGTTTTTTGTATCCTATGAAATTCATGCCTACCCTAAATTCATGAACATTTTCCATTATAATTTCTTCTTAAAGATTTATAGTTTTAGCCTTTCATATTTAGGTTCATACATCCTTTCAAGTTATCTTTATGTATGGAAATAAAGGATTGAGGTTAATGTTTTACATACAGATAACAGGTGTTCTAGTAACATTTGCTGAAAACACTATCTTTTCCTCTGCTCTTGAGTTGAGTTTATATTCTATAAAATGTTAATGTTAAATAATCTTTCAAAACTCAGTGGACCATATATGTGTGGTTATATTTCCAGATTTTCTGTTTTATTCCCATGATTTATATGTCTTTTTTACACCAACACTCCCTTGATTACTGTAGCTTTAGAGTAAGTTTTAAAATCAGGTAATAAAGGCCAGTGATTTAGCTCAGTGGTTCTGCCACCTGCCTCACAAGCACAAGGTTCTGAATTCAATCCCTGGTACCAAAAAAAAAAAAAAAATAGATAATAAATATCTTCCAACCCCTTTTTTTCTTTTTACTTTTCTAGGTCCTTTGTACTCATACATAACTTTTAGATTTCAATATCCTATTCTTCATGTATAGCATGTATACATAGACCTGAATTTTTATAAATACCTTGAATTTTCTAATCCTGGTAAATTCAAATACAAGTTCTAGGACTCTTAGAGATTTCTTAGTATTTTCTCTGTAGATTATCATTTCATCTACATATAAAGATTTTACTTCTACCTTGCCAATCCTATCCTAACTGTGTCATTTTATTGCCAGACTATTTTGGTGGGGCCTATGTTTCAAAGTTTAATGGATAAATGAAGAGTAAGCATATCTGCCCTTGTTCCCCACCTTAAGGAGAAAGCATTGTATCTTCTCCATTCATGTAAGGCATTTTTGCTGGAAGTATGGAGCACATGTCTTTAATCTGTTGAGAAGGTTTTGCTCTACTTCTAGTCTCCTGATAGCTTTTACCATGAACAGCTGTGGAATTTAGTCCAATAATTTTTCTGCAACTATTGACAGAATCATATGGCTTTTTCCTTTCCCCTGTTAAAATGTTACTTATGGGGTGGATCTTCCAATGCTGAACCAACCTTGCCATCCCTATAATAAAAACACTTTCTACATACTGCCAGATCTGACTTCTAGTAGTTTGTTTTGTTAAACAAATTTCTATCTATGTTCATACTTTTTTCTTCTATTATCTTTATCAAGTTTTAGGATTAGCACAATGTTGATTTCCTAAAATGAAGAAAGAGTGTTCCTTTTTTTCTGGTTTAAATGTTTGACATAATTCATCAGGAAAAACGTATATGAGCCTGTTGTCATATGGGTAGATTTTCAAGTTAGCAATATACTTTGTTTAATAGGTGCTATGCAAATTTTATATTTCCTTCAGAGTCAGTTTCATTAATTTGTCTTGCAAGGTACTTCTTAGAAGTTGTCAAATTTATTTCAGAAAGGATTTTTGTAATATTCTTTCTATATCCTTTTAAATTCTGCAAAATCTGTGGTAATGTCCTCTAAATTTTGATATTATAATTTTAAAACTTGTATAAATGATATTGTGTAATAATAAGAAAAGGTCTAAAGGAGTAGGGGAAGTGGGAGGGGCAATGGAAAGGAAAGAAGGGAAAAGAAAAAAATATGAGAAAAGAAAAAAATGATAACAAAGTCTTTACAAATCAAGAAGGGTGGAGGGGGTGAAGGGAGGGCAGGGGAAGGGGAAAAAAATAAGAACCAAGATTCATCATGTAAAGGTACAAGATCCCAAAGATGAATGTAACTGTATTTTACATCTAAAATGTATCAATGAACAATGGAAAAAAAAGAAGAGACATTTATAGCCAAATGGATGCACATTTAGGTGATACTCAAGTGAAATAAGTAGGGCACACATGTGTAAGTACCGTATACTTTCTCTAGTTTGAGAAACTGAAGTATAAATAAGGACTAAAAGTTATAATAGATAATGTGAAATAGGCATAAAAGGGCCAATTGGGAAGTGGGAGAGTAGGGGAAAAGAAAGGAGGGAATGGAATTAATATGAGAAAATGAAAAAAATGGAAACAATATCTTTGTAAATAAGGAAGGGTGGAGGGGGTGAAGGAAGGCCATGGAATGGGGAAAACATAAGAACCAAGATACATCATGTAAAGGTACAAATTCCCAATGATAAATGTAAAAATGTATTGTATATCCTAAAATATACCAATAAAAGGATTTAAGGAAAAAATAACAATTAAGTTCCTACATACACAGTTTTTATTCCCTGTTTTTATATATGGGACATAGTTTTGTTTTTCTTTGTATATCTCATCATTCTTACTTGAAAGTTGGACATTTTGGATAGCATATTGTGATCAATCTTATTACTGACAGCCCCACACCCATAGCATTGGCATTCTTGTTATTTGCTTGAATCTTTAATGCATTGCTTTGACTAAGTCTATGAGTTATGTTTCCTCTGTAGTGTGAAACATCTGATGTCCTTGCTCACATTTCTTATTTATTTTTAATCTTTTATCCCAGCTACTTATGAGTTGTTTCAAGGCAGCATATGCCAATTTTTGGTCAAAGGTTTTTTTCTTAAGTCTCCATAGCTAGATAGTTATTTTGTCACTTACCACCAGATGTTTTTGTGGCTTGGAGCCTGCTATCACAGTCCAAGGAGTTTACAGTACTGTCCCATTTGGAAACATAATACTTCTACTTTAACTCCTGACAGGTGCACATATTTAGATCCTCTTAAAATCCTCCACATTTTAGGGTTTTTTGTGATTTTACTTTTAAC